GGGGGGGGGGGGCACATGGGAAGGCAGGAACAGGACTAATCCATGCCTCACCTCGTAACAACACAAAAGTATGAAGATGAAAAACCTGAGGCCCACCCCCCCCAGTGCCCTTGGTCCCAACACACCCCCATGGTCTTGCTCTCCCTATCTTCCCCACAAGCTCCTGAGGAACAGATCTAAGGATGAGGAGGAGGACCAGTTAAACACTGGGCTGGTAAGAGTGAGTGGGCTCCTCTCTTCTCCCCACTAACAAGGCAGGTCAGAATGGTATCTCCTTGGGAACAGTCATCTAGAGATAAACACCACCCCCCTGCCCTAAGCAGGAGAGAAAGGTATACGGGAAGATGGTGGTGGAAAATCCACCATCCATCCTATCATCCAGAAAAACCCACCTGCAGAGAAGAGAGGAACCAGTGCAAGTGGGACAGCCTTCCCTCTACCTTCTTCCCTTTATCTCATCAACATGGGAGAGGCAGATGATAGGCTAGAGCGGGCAGTGTCCTGGCTCCCAGCCTCGAGCTGCACTCCACCCCTCCACCCTTCCCCCGGCCCCTGCATATATATCTCTCTATACATGTATATACACGCGCACACATGCACGCACACACAGAGAGGCCCGTGCAATTTCCATGTAGAACGGGGAGAGGGTGGCAAAGGAAAGGAAGACGGGGAATAGGAGAAGGACCTGTGGGGAAAGGGGAGGGACTCAGATGCCAAGAGCACAGCAACCAGAGCCAAACGAAGCGAACGAAGAGAATACCCCACCCCACCTCCCAAACCCAAGGATGAGGGGGGCCACCCCATGAAACCATAACAACCTTGTTTTTGTTTTAAATCCGATAAATTGGAATGATTCATCATCAGGACAACAACTGGGGACTGGTCATGGACAGGGAAGAGGAGGGAGGGCAGGGGAGGCAAGGCTCTTGTTGGGCATGCGGACATGATACCCAGGGCCCTGGCCACACTGGCAACGGGAAGGAAGGGGCAGGACTGGGGTAGGGAGACAGTAGGTGTGTCAGGGGTGGGTGGGGTGGTCGAACAGGGCTGCCTGGCTCTCACTTCTTGTTTTTGAGCTGATTGGCCAGCCAGTCCAGGCCTTCGTACAGCCCGTCCCCGCTGGTGGCACAGGTGGCCTGAATGTACCAGTTGCGGTGACGCAGGGAATGCAGGCCCAACTTGTCTGTGATCTCGGCAGCGTTCATAGCATTAGGCAAATCCTGGAGCGCGAGGAAGACACACAAAAAGGAGCCTCAGGATCTTTCAAAGGCTTCTAGAGCACCCAACTACCAAAGAGATGTGTACCAGCACCCTCTCCTCCTCCTCCATTGTAGAAGCCAGAACAAGGTCCTAAGGAGCAGCTTTGGATTTAGTCATCCTAGAGCCATAGATTCAAGGCACTAAAGGTCATTCCACTGGGGAGCTGCAAACCAAATATGGGGTTGGTAGGGAAGTGGAGAGGTGATTCAGACTGGGCAAAGAATCATGTCTGTCTGACTGCAGGAGTGAGGGCAGTTCCACTAAAGTAGACATCAGGAAAGATGAAGGAGGGATTTGAGGTGATGTATCTACCACACCAAATCTCTGAGGACAGAAATGTTGCTAATTAAAGCTGGGTGGGGGACAAGAAGAGGAACATAAAGAAGCCAGCTAATCGTATTTCCCACACTTCCAAAATTGAGAACACAGGGCTTCCCCTACAATAAGCCCCAAGGCTCATGATTTCTACAGCCAGGTTGTCATCTCTCAAATCCAGGGGTGGGGAGAAGTCTCACCTGTTTATTTGCAAAGACAAGGAGCACTGCATCCCGGAGTTCATCCTCTGCCAGCATCCTCATCAGTTCCTCCCGGGCCTCATTTACTCGCTCCCGATCATTGCTGTCGACCACAAATATCAACCCTAGGGAGGCAGAGCATGGGCTGCACAAGAGAGCAGATGAACTCCCTCTCCCCGCACACACACCACCAAAAGACAACACCCTCCACATGCCCTCCAAATATTTGCTCCCTTTCCTCCTTTGTTCCCACCCCTAGGAGTTGCAGCCAGGCAAGAACTGGCTGCCCATAACCAAAAATGAAGGTCATTCCTTCTGCTCATACCCAACCAACCCGTGCCAACCTGGGCAATTCATATTCCATACCTTGGGTGTTCTGGAAGTAGTGTCTCCAGAGAGGCCGAATCTTGTCCTGGCCACCCACATCCCAAACTGTGAAGCTGATATTCTTGTACTCCACTGTTTCCACGTTGAACCCTTTGGAAAAAACAATGGCCACTTGGCCTCAAACACCAGGCCTGCGAACAATACCCAGGTGGGTTCATTTCTGTTTCCCCCAGCCTGGCTATGATCCTAGCAAAGGAAACTAAGGCTTCCTCAGGCCTGGTATTCCCTGACCTAGTAGCCTAAAGGCCAAAAAGAGAAAAAGAGGAAGAGAATGAGAAGGGCCAGTCAGGAGGTTCACAATCGCCTGGGTAACATGAGCTAACCTTCTCCACTCATTCTCTTCAGTCTTTGCCTCTCCCTCCTGCAAAGAAATGACTCAGCCCCATTCCTGTACCTCAGCCACCAGAGTCTGCCACAGCTAAGAAGTAGGGCCTGGGAAACACGGTGAAGAAAAAGTGAGCTATAGTCCTGGAGCCCCAAATGCAGAACCAATGGACAATGATGATCTGGAGCCCCATCAATAAGGCAAATTCTCTCCCTCCCACAGGCAGGTCTTAACCAGGATCAGGGCCACTGAGGATCTAAACCGAACCAACTCCTGGCCCCTGGCAGGAACATCAAAGCCTTTCACCCGCTTTTCAAACAACACAAAGAATAAACCAGCTCAGTGCCTCAGGGCGACTGTTCAGTGCCAGGCTTCGGAAGTTCCCGCATCAGAGAGGACCAGGGTAGGTGGGCAAACGGCAGCCCCAGCACCTGCTAGTAAGCTAAATAACCATCCTTCCCTGAATCCCCCCAAGTTGCATGGACTTGCCTGGTGGCCAGGTGGGGGATCTAGGAACAGGCCCCCTGCCTGGCTCAGCTGTTGGCATCAAAGCCTACATCTAAGCTGTACCCTTACCGATGGTGGGGATGGTAGTGACGATCTCCCCCAGTTTCAGCTTATACAGGATGGTGGTCTTTCCAGCGGCATCCAGGCCCACCATCAGGATACGCATCTCCTTCTTCCCAATCAGGCTCTTGAGAAGGTTTCCAAAGATATTACCCATGATCACAGCAACCACTTTCTGAGGACAGGCGGGCTCAAGTGGGGGCAGTGGCAGTCTGGTTTTGGCCTGGCCCCTGGTATGGAGAACTTGATCCTAGGCAAAGAAACATAAACTCATTACCACCATCTGCTAGTCAGGATCTCGTGCAAATGGGATTTGCCAAAGTCATGGCTGGAGTTCATGCCAAACTGAGAGCCTGAGAGGACTAGGAAGATCAAGTCCTACTCAGACACATCCTGAGTCTTTGGGAGCAGAGAGACAAAGCACTGAACACTCAGGACCCCTGCTCTGCTAGTAATATACCCATGTGACTTTGGATGAGTTATTTCACCCATCCATATCTGCCCCTATAAATGGAGGAGGTTGAACTAGATGACTTCTAGAGTCCCCTGAGTTCTGACACTCTATACCATATAAGGTCTTATGAGACCATGAATGCCCCTCCCTCCCTCAGCCTTACCCTGAGACTCCCGGAAAGGCTGGGAGAGGAGGGAGTGGAATGAGGAGTGGCTCTTTGTGACTCCTGACAAGGTTTGGGCTTGCCAGGTTCCCAAGGTCTAGGCTCTCTGCTCAAATCAAGGGACTCCACTTCTTCCCTTTCTCTACTTCTATAATTCTACCTTCCTTCCACACACCAAAATCAATGAGGAAGAAATAAGAAAGTAACCCTCCCTAAAAGAGGCTGATCCTTTCCACTTTGTGAAGTGCCAGCTGCTCAAGTTGTTCCCGTTCATACAACCGTACACCAAGCTGGGAGATGGGGTGGGGAGAGGCTCCCCCTCATTCCTCAGCCATTCCTAGGCTCCCCCTCATTCCTAGGCTCACTGTGGCCCATCCAAGGACAGCTTTTCTACATTCTCACCTGCAATGAGGCAGTCACCTCATTCCCTGCCTCTTCCCCCCACCCCCTTCAGTCTATTCTCCACATAGCCAGACTGCTTTTAAAACCAAAATCAGGTCATGCTGCTTCTCGGTTCAACCCTCTCTTGGTTTCGTATCTCCTTTTCAGTAAAACCCAAAGCCATACCGTGGCTTACAAGGTCCTGCATGATCTGCATTCCCCTGCTTCTGTTGTTAGATCCTCTACTGCTCTCCCTTTGGCTCACTCCACTTCAATTCCCCAACACCTTCTTGTCTCAAAGCTTTTGTACTTGCTCTTCACTCTGCCCTGAGTTAACCTTCCCAGAGTACTCCCTCACTTCCTTCAGGCATCCATTTGAGTATCACCTTATCAAAGAGGCCTTCTACAACCACCAAAACATACACACATCACTCTCTACCCCATTTATCCCACTTCACTGTTCTTCATAGCATTTCTCAGCATCAGACACATCACACATTTGTTTCTTGCTGTTGTGTTTTTCTCCTTCTACAATGTCGGCTCTTTATTTTGTTCACTGCTGTGTTCCCAGTACCTTGACTAGTGCCTGGCACATAGCAGTGGAAGAAATGAACTAAAATAGTAAGGTCTATAACTGGCCTTACTAGCAGCTCACTCAGATTGGAAGCTTATGCTTGGTACATACTAGGAACTTAACAAATATCTGCTAAAAAAGTGAAGACGACAGCAGTTAAGAACCACCAGGAAGGTACAAAATGCCCATCCTCCCACCCTACTACCTATTGCCCCCAAAGACAAAATCAGAGTCACTCATTTTCTCTTCTTCCCTCCCTTCTCTATGGAACAGGACAGCCACAGAAATGCATCTTTGAAACAACAATGAAACAGGGGTTCAGAATCGCCCATGCCAGCCAGTTCTCTGTGCCTGCAGGAGACATGCGTCAGCAGGCAGCTTATTCAGCAATCACCATATGCCAGCTGCTGGCATTCTCTATAGAGTCTGGGAACCAGAGGCACACACACACACACCCCAAACCCAGCAGGCGAAGGAACAGGTCAAGACAGAGTGCACCCAAACCCAAGAATGTGAAAGGTGGATGGGTAGGAATCCTATTTACAAGCTAAAGCATGGGGGGTTTAGTGGGAGTTTAGCTGTTTTCTCAAAAACTATTTCAGTTCTGTTTGTTTCCTACTCTCCTCAGTTTGCAGCAAATTCCAGACTAGCACAAAGGAGCCAGATCAACAGCCCCTGGAGACCAAAGTACTAGTTTGTCCAAAAAACAGAAACAATGAGTGCTTACAGAGTGTTTCATCTTCAAAGGCCTTCTCAGACATCCACTAATGAGCCAGGCGTGGTGCTCCTGGTAGGTTCCTCAGATGAGCCCTGCCCCTGACCCAAAGGGCTCACACCCCAGAGAGAGGACCTGGCTCAACCTTAGGGCTCAACTTCAGCCAAGTCGCCCACTAGCCATCGTCCCTGCCCATCCTGCCTCAACCCACCCAGGCAGACAGATCCCAGAGGATCCCTGAGGCAGGAGGGGACATCTGCCCAACTAATAAGATTAGATTCCATCAACCCCAGCAATCTGTAGTAGTCAGATTTCCGGTCCTGCCACCATCACCTACAGAAATTTAAATCTTCCCCAAGTCTTCCTACTTTTATATCTTGTCTCCTGCCCAGGTGTCCTTTTCTCCAGCTCCAGATGATACTTTCCTTTAAGACTTTGGTAATAGGCTTTGGCCCAGATTCTGTATTAAATTTATGCCACACATTTATCTTGCTGTCCTTCGAGAATGAAATTATTGCTGAGTAAATGATTATCAACTGTGAGTACAGCAGTGACTGAAAAATACCCCTTGCCCCCAAACATGCAAACCTTGTACTTTGGTTTGCTTCTTTGCTAAGCTAGCATGCTAATGTCTTGGTTCAAAAGCTAATCCCAGTGTTACACTTATTTCTATTTCCTGGTATGTCCCTGAATCATCTGAACCACTCAAGTGGCACTTACTAACTTGTGGAGTTTTTTCCTCTTTATAAGTCTGTATATTTACCGTCTCTCCAGCTTCACTGTATTCTCCATGGGCAGGGACTATGCCTTTTATTTTGGATCCGTCCCACTCCCAGTGCCAATTCCACTATACGAGTTCAATCAAGCACATGGGCCAATTTAAGCCTCATCTGAGGTTGTTCTTATATCATTTCTTCTGCCCTAGCAGCACTTGGTATCTTTGTATAATGCACCAATGGTTTCTTAGATATCCTGTCAATTCTTGGCCATTCTCCACACATACCTGACCCAAAGACTGGTTTGGAAACACCCCAAAAGGACTAGAAGACTAAAATTGGTGGAATTTTCTCTTGCCGCTTAATACACAATGTGGCAGATGGATAACTGATGAAATGCCCAAGGAGTTACCACATGTCCTCTGGGGGGAAGCCCAGGGCCTTGACATTAGTGGAAATTATGGCTCCTCTTTAATATAATCAAGAGCTTGACTCAGATGAGCATTCCAAAGTGGGTATTGGTTTTCTTGATCTGTCCCTATTACCAGACAGCTTGATGCCCCTACCATGAGGATGGTGGCAACTTTCAGCTTTGTGCCATGAACACAAATCTTGGTCTATACAGCTGATTCTCACTTTCACCATAATGCATTCCTAGAAAAAGCTCTGGGAGGCAGAATGGCAAAAAAGAAAAAAAAAAAACAAAAAACAAAACAAACCATAAACCCTGGATTGTTTCCCTATGTACTCTGCAGCCTATAGTTACTCTCTTTTACCACAGATGGCACTCCTGTGTTCACAGGGCAAAATGCCAGGGTTCCATGGGCTGTTAGAAACCAGGAATCAGCAGTTAAAACTAAAGGTGAGTGGCTTAGAATAAAAAATGGAATACAGTAATATCTCTAGTATTAAAAAGTATATCTCAACATTCTACTTTACAATCACAAACTTTGTTATCAGTGGTACAAACGACAAGAAGAGCTCTAAAAAATGTGTTCCAGGACAATCTGTCTGGGACACTGCAGGAGTTCAATCAAGCACACTGCCTGATTTAAGCCTCATTTGAGGATGTCCTCACTGAGGGCTACTTACCGCCCCCAAGTCCATCCTTCCACCCCCCCAGGAGAGGCAGGCTGTTGCTGAAACTGCTCAGCCATCTTGGCTTGTGTGTGTTGCAGGAACATTCTTGCCTCACTCTCCAAGTGATACTGAGAGTCACAGCTAGGTCTGCCGCACACACTCCCCTCACCTGACTCCTGTGGCTGACTCAGGCTTGCGTCGTAAGACACCTCCAAGGGGACTTCTGATCTGGCACCACCTCCTCCTCTTCAGGCTACATGATGGGTCCGAGGAAAGGAAAACCAAAGTCTGCTGCCAAGCAGGGTGCACTAAAAGCAGCTTTGCTCCCAGACGGTTTTCACATTGAGATATCACTAATAGAGATGCTATTTTTAGCAAAGCCAATGGAGCAGACCAATAAAATTTAAGGAAACAAAAGCAGGGTCCGCCTGTATTTAGCTTCCTTAGCACAGCTGGCTTGTGACCTCTATAAGCTTTCCAAGTTTTTGTCTCAAGAGCACTATAATCACAAGCACACAAGAACTCCTAGATTAGTATCTCAATGACTTCTACTGGACTCAGAGATTTCCCAAAGCCAAGAAATAGCTTCAGATGTCAGCTTCCATCCATTCATTAAGCATTTATTGAGTATATGGAACTAGGGATACAGAGAGGAAGACAGCTTCTGCCTTCATGAAACTGTCATGGGAGAGGAAAACTAGCAAACCCAGGATTACAAAACAGCATGAGGGTAAGAATGAGATAAGCACATAGTATTATGGGGACAGAAAGCTGGAGCAGCTAATCAAAACAGGGGTAAAGGGCGATTCTCTGATTCTCAGGTCACACCTGAGCTGACTCCTAAAGAATAGGAAGTAATTAAACAATAAAGAGGGAGAGGGAACAGCATGTCAAAGACATAAAGACTTGAGTTAGAGACAGCACTTTTTACTAGACAAAGCCAGGTGCATCTGAGAGGCAGATTATTTGGATATCACATAGTGGGTAGAAGAAAGTGATGACTCTGGAGGTAAGCAGGGGCTAGATCATGAAGGGCCTTAAAGGCCATATTGAATAACATGATCAAGTATATGCTTTAAAAAGACCATTCTGGGTGTGCCTGGCTCAGTCAGCAGAGGATGCAACTCTTGATCTCAGGGTCAGGAGTTCGAGCCCCATGTTAGATGT